TGATGATGATGATGATGATGATGATGATGATGATGATGATGATGATGATGATAGTGGACATTTATATAGTGCTTTAAGATTTAAAAAACATTTTGCAAACATTATTTCATGTGATCTTCACAAGTCTATGGGGAAAGTGCTTTAGAGATTATCAAAATGTGGATACTCCACAAATAGGATAATCATCTCCTACATAATCCATTAACTGCCTTACCTTTTAGCCTCTTATGGGACAGATGTTTGTTTACTCAGGAAACTAAAGCCATATATAAATATCCTTATAGGTAACTATACTACTGTTTCAGAGACAATCCTAATCCTAAGCTTCTCTTTGTGATTTTGCATAAAATGGAGGTTAATTTTCATCAAATAAAAGTGTATTATAACCACAACTTAGTTTTAGTATTTTTACAAATGGGGAAGCTTTTTCTAATTTTCTAGTTATTGGATACTTCTGGAGTACAGAATAACAGGCTTCTATCATTCTCATAATGTGCATGAGGTAATTTGCTATTCCTGACTAGTTCTAAATAAGTAGTGAAATGCTTAATTATATGCAGAAAATAAAAATAGATGAATAGAACTGTGGATTTTCTTGGTTTTAGTCTTTGTCCCAAACTAGAATGAGTCACTGTAGGCACTTATATTTGATGAGTTCAGAAATGTCACTTCCAAGGATTTTCATTGTTGAGTTGAACGTAATGATTATAGTTTGAATCTTAGATGACTGCTAAGCTCAGAGGTTTTCCCCCCAATAATGTTATTAATAGCACATGACAATATAAGAATTAAATAGAAGTAACGTTCTTTAAATGAGGAAAATACACAGTTGTTATACAGTTTTTGTTTTTAATAGCAATTTCTTTTTGAAGTGATGGGTGTTAAAAGCCTCCTGTATTTTGGAAAAATATTTACTAAGGGAAATAAGTGCAAATATTTAACACCTTGGCCAATAACTTGTTCATGTTTTAATTTTTAGGAAACTCATTGAAGAAATGGAAGAAAAACAAAAATCAGACAAAGCAAAATTAGAACGAATGCAACAAGAAGTAGAGTCACAACGCAAGGAAACGGAAATAGTACAGCGACAGATCCGGAAACAGGAGGAGAGCTTGAAACGCCGTAGCTTTCATATTGAGAGTCGGCTGAAAGATCTGCTAGCTGAAAAAGAAAAATTTGAAGAGGAACGGCTCAGAGAGCAGCAGGAGATCGAGCTTCAGAAGAAAAGGCAAGAAGAAGAGAGCTTTCTCAAGGTCAAAGAAGAACTCCAGCGGCTACAAGAGCTCCATAACAATGAAAAGGCAGAGAAGATACAGATATTCCAAGAACTTGACAGACTTAAAAAGGAAAAAGATGAGCAATGTGCCAAGCTTGAACTAGAAAAAAAGAGACTTGAAGAACAGGAAAAAGAGCAGCTGATGCTTGTTGCCCATCTTGAAGAAGAAGTCAGGGAGAAACAAGATATGATCCAACTCCTAAAACGTGGCGATGTCCAACGGCTAGAAGAAGAGATTAGGGACCTTGAAGAAATCAGAGGATGTCTTTTGAAATTTAAAGAAGGCCGGTCTGAGGGGGAAGAAGATGGTGAAGAATTAGAGAAAGCACAACTTAATTTCCTGAACTTCAAGAGAAAGCAACTTGCACAGTTGACTAGTTTGGAGAAGGACCTAGTTCAGCAGCAGGATCTCCTTGAAAAAGAAGTGGCAGATGAATGGGAAATTCTAGAGTGTTTAACAGGTACCACTGAAGATTTGAATTTGCTTGAAGTAAATGATGAAACTCACTTGAAGGCAACACAGGTGGCCCAGGACTTGGAGAAAATAAAGCCAACAGAATACAGACTGCAGTATAAAAAACGTCAGCTTCAGTACCTCACACAGAATCATTTGCCAGTTTTGTTGGAAGAGAAGCAAAGAGCTTTTGAAATCCTTGACAGGGGCCTTCTCGGCTTAGACAACACACTTTATGAAGTTGAGAAAGAAAAGGAAGAAAAAGAGGAACAGCTTGCCCAATACAGAGCCAATGCCAGCCAGCTGCAGAAGCTCCAAGCCACATTTGAATTCACTGCCAACGTTGCTCGTCAGGAAGAGAAAGTTAGGAAAAAGGAAAAAGAAATTCTTGAATCAAGGGAAAAGCAACAGAGAGAGGCGCTGGAACAGGCTGTCGCTAAACTGGAAAAGAGACATACGGCACTCCAGCGACGCTCTACTCTAGATGTGGAGATTGAAGAGCAGAAGCAAAAGCTGGCCACTCTCAACAGCAATAATAGTGAGCAGTCAGGTCTCAGGGCTAGTCTAGAATCAGAGCAAAAAGCCTTAGAACAGGACCGAGAAAGGTAAGAACTTGAGAGTTGTTACTATGGGGAGGTTTTATTTCTAGAAGGCCTAGAAATACTTTATTCTTTTAAGCTGGAGTTAGTTTTCCTCAAACCTGACAAGTATACCTGAGAAGTATTTTTCTTAGAATCACATGGCCTCCAGAAATCTAAAATGGAGGGGTAGGGGTAGAGAGTCACATTCTATTCTCTTGAGGAAGTGTTTTTTATTGAGGCATATGGTATATTGATAAAATTGCCTAATCTTGGCTGTTTTGTCTTTCTTGGCCACTCCCTTTGCCTCATATTAAATTTACATATTAATTTTTCTTGAAATTTCAGTACTTTTAGTGCTAATAGTAGTTTTCATTTGGGGAGTTTTCATTTCATTTATGAAGTCTTCAGGAGCAAGTTGGCCAATTTACAGAACTTCACCCATTCTTTCATACCTGTGGAGAGTGTGATTTTGTACCTTGAAGATGAGGTTTACCAGAGCAATATATTCAAAGGCGTTTCATCCATCGTGAGAATCTCACTCATGTTTTATTTGAAACAGTTTCCTATTCCAAAGTGCCACAGATGAAGTGTTTTCTGTCCATTCTTTATATAAACAGTTATAGGTACCATTAGCTAGAAAGACTAAATTTTAATGTACACAATCCTCCTTCTTTGGGGCTAGTGGGAACAAGATGGTTAGGGGTACTACAAAAGAGTCACCAGGTACTGGAGCCATGCAACTCTGGTGTTAATTCTTTTCTGGTGACAGAGAAATGGCTGCCAAGAATACAAGGGAACAGAGGGGATGCTCTTGGTCAAGCCCTGAGATATCTGGGGGAAATTTCTATGTTCCAAATTTTTGTGTAAATTCCCAGCCATATTTTGGTAATTCTGTTAGTTTTAAGGTTAAAACCTCCTCTCTAACTCTTGAATGTAGCTATTTTTTACAAAGAAATATGTGAGTGGTTTTTTAAGAAAACTCCTGGGAATAGACTAGGTAACTAAAATGTATACTCAAAGCTACTATAGCTAGGACATTTGAAAAGTAGAGATCATGTTCTTACCTAATGCCATGCTGTGTGACATAAGAACATAGTGTGGGCTTCAGCTTGATGTTCCAATCTTTTGTCAGCGTCTCTCACTACCTTGATGTTTAGCATTAGGACTCCGTAATAACAGAAGCAATATTCCAGTGTCAGTGGGAGTGATTTTCCAATGTCAGTACACCTGCAGAAGCCAGGCAAAGGTTGCTTTTAGATTTATGTATTTGGATGGAATAGATTTTGCTAAGGTGTAATATAGGCTGACAGCGTGGGAGAGCAGTGTGACAGTTCTGTCCTAATGCACCCTGGCTATCATGCAGCTGCTGATTTTTTTTTTTTGTAGTCCTCAAAGCCTGATCCATAACCTAGTATGCTGATTGACCTGGTTATTTGAGCTGATAGGTGGTATGAAAATAGAAGATTCATGTAAGCAGAGATCAAATAGGTAGTGAGTCCACAAGGTGTTTGCAAGGTAATATTCTGTCACCTTTCCCTGCCCTGTGCCTGCTGCTCTAATCCAGCTGTTCCACTCATTTATGCAGGTAGATGCTCAACCACTTGAAAAGTTGCATTACTGTCATCTCACCAGAGCTTTTCTTCATAGCTACTGAGTCAGAAGAACAGCAAGCAGGGAAGCCTTCTTTTCTTATTTTTGTGTTAGTCCTTTACTTATTCTGTCTTAATCACAAAGACACAGCCACTCCATGCACTACCAGCTCTATGCCCTTCCCCTATACCTGGAATCTTTTCTTTACCTCTTCCCTCCTATCAAGACCCAGCTCACATCCCTGTCACCTCCATGAGGTCTTTTGACTACTCCAGCCTCATTGATCTCTTTTTTTTTCTGAACTGTTAGTGGGCCACAAACATTCCGGTGGATGCTATTTTATGTCCATCTCACTTTACTTTCCAACAGTCTCATAAACAAGATGACTGTATTTCTAGAATACTAACCCCTCCCTCTGTATCCATAATCTAGACCATTTCTCTCTTCCTCTCCATCTTATTTTCTCAAATTGCTTTGGGTATTTTAGTCAAATGCTGATTTAATTATTTATTAAATGAGGGCCAGAACTTGTATGTTTAGCACTTTTTACCCTACAAAATTGATGGATTAGAAGGGACCTCAGAGGTCACTTACAGTAAGCTATACATGATTACCCACCACCACCACCATCACCACCATCATCAGTATTCCTAATAAGTGGTCACCATTCATATTCTTGCAGCAGTTCCTTCTACCATTTGTTCCTGGTTCTACCCTCAAATCTTTCTTGTATATGGCAGCCCTTCAATTACCTGAATTATGTACTCCTTGACTCTTCTTTAGGCTAAACATCTCTAGTTGTTTCAGTCTATCCTCTGTAATTTCTAATACTTTCACCATCCTTGTCACCCCTTTTTGTACATGCCCCAGGTGGTCGGTATCCCTCTTCAGAGGTAGAACTAAATATAATACTGCACATGTGCTTTGACCAGGCAGGGTAGAGTACAGAAGGACTTAACTTCTCCCTCATTCTGGACTACTAGATTCCTAATAACACAGCCTTAGGATTAACTTTTTTGGGTTTTGTGGTTGTTATTCCATACTTAATTCATGTGGATCTTGCTGTCATCTAAACCTTTAGATCTTTTCACCCAAAATGATGCCTACCAGACCTCCCCAGTCCTGTCCTCGTGCAGTTGTTGGTTTTTACCAGATGTA